CATATTGGCAGATTGGTGATAATGTTCGTGTGATTTTTGGGCTTCAAGAAAGGTCATAGAGAGGAGACTATCCGCAATAGCATTTCCTTCACTGATAGGACCTGGTAAGTTAGTATGTGAGAAAGTATGCTGATTTGTGCTGTTTCTATATCTTGAGCAATGTACACTGCATATTTACTATCAGAGAGAATGTTTAGGGTTCCGGGTAAGTCTTGCAAAGCAGATATAATGGCAAACAGTTCATTCTTTTGTGTAGAATCAAAAGGAGTATGAATGATCCTTGGAGCATTTGTGTCGATGGAATAATAAGATGCTTCATGAGCTTTAATTGCATCGGTGAATATTAGGCGTGCTCCTTTAATAGGATTCTTTTTTTACTTTGTTAGAAATAATCCATTGATGTTTTTCCATGAATTGGAAAAGTTTAAGAGAGATTACATTATCAAATTTTCCTTGATATATGGTTAATAGTATTTGCCAATCAGGATTTTGTTGAAAGAGAATGTTTATTTGTGGTTGTGTGTAAGGAAGATGTATTGTACAGGGTAATTGACCTGTTAATTGTATACCTCTCTGAATTGTCTTTTGAGTAAGCTGAGCAACTAATAGAGGATAAGTAATCAAGGAAACCTTTGGTTGGGTTGGAAGAAAGGACCATTCTATAAATCCTGGTCATTGATGAATACACCCTAATGGCACAATGGGTGTGGCCAGTGTTGTGATATCATATTTTTTGAAAGGACTCCATCTTCGTACTGCCTTTTTCTGTATTAGTTTTTCTACTTGTCTTAGTTGAGACAGAGCTTGAGGGGTCAGCTTCCTGGGGGAGTTCAGATCAGGATCTCCACGAAGGATATCAAACAAATCACGCAACTGGTGTGTTGGAATACCAAGTGTAGGTCTTAACCAATTGATATCACCTAACAATTTTTGGAAATCATTTAAAAGTTTCAAATTATCTTTTCTTATTTCCAATTTTTGTGGTTTTATCTCCATTTCATCAAACAAATAGCCTAAAAATGAATATGGATGTTCCTTTTGAATCTTATCCGTTGCTATCACCAATCCATAGGAATTCAACGGATATATTGTGTTTTGTAAAATAAGAATTAACTGCTCTTTATCTGGATAGGCACACAAGATGTCATCCATATAATGTCTGATGTAAGCTTCAGGAAATTGTTTCCTAATGGGCTGTAAGGCAGTATGAACATACTTCTGACATAATGTAGAGCTATTTTTCATTCCCTGAGGAGAACCTTCCATTGATATCTCTCATGAGGTGCTCTTATGTTAGTAGATGGCACTGAAAAGGCAAAATATTGACAATCATCTTTATGTAGTGGTATTGTGTAAAAGCAACCTTTCAGATCAATGATCCATAAAGGCCAATTTTTGGAAATCATTGTTAATGATGGTATACGAGATTGAAAACTCCCCATTCATATCATGGCGTCATTTATTTTTCTCAGATCAGTTAACACATGCCATTCTCCTGATTTCTTTTTGATAACAAAAATAGGAGAATTCCATGGACTATTAGATGGTTCTATGTGTCCACTATTTAATTGTTCTTTTACTATTTGTTGTAAAGCCATCAGTTTTTCTGTAGGAAGGGACCACTGCTCGACCCAGATTGGTTTTACTGTTTTCCACTGAATAGAGTCTGTTGTTTTTAAACATGGTTGTTCAGCAGCAGCCCCTGTTAAAAATGTGTATGTACATCAGTTCCAATGACTATGTGCATTTGCTCTAAAACATCTCGGCCCCATAAACAAAGGGGTAATGATGCAAGAACATATGGCTTAATTCTTCGGGACCTCCCTTCACATTCCCAAGTTAACCATCGTGAACGTCTTTCTGGTTGAGATATCCAACCTATACCCCACATTGTAGTATCACTAGTTTGAAGAGGCCACATGGGAGGCCATTGTGATTCACTAATGATAGATTTATCAGCTTCTGTGTCTATAATACCTTCAAAGGGTTTTCTTCTATTTTAAGTTTCGTAACTGGCCTCTGACTTTGTACTTGCTGCGACCAAAAAACCGTGAGGAGCATCTTCTCGCCCCTCACTTATGGGTATGGGAGCCGTTTGTTTCTTTATGTCTTTCGGTTCCTCACCTTGATCAAGTTGAATAACAGTAGTGGTCCCGATACGATCTCCCTTGAGTATCTTATGTTCATGAGGACAAGTAACATGAAGAATTATATCAGTAACCTTTCGATATGGGACAAAGAGCTGAGGGACTACATTAAGATCAGAAAATGCCATTGCAGGTGAGTTCAATAGGAGGACAATAAACCCCTGGGGGATAGTTAGCGATTGGGTTAAAGGAACCTAAGTATGACTCATGATGCTAGTTATGGAAGTTGAAATGTCAGGATACAAAGGTATTGACTTTATAGTTATTGTTCTTGGTGTTCCTGCCCGTGATATTGTTGACTTACTGTATGAGGGGGCAGTAAAGTCATAGCCCCTATTGTTGCCTGGGCCCGGGGTTGGTGTCTGTGGCAGTTTCCCAAACTCCTGCACTCGGATTTCCAATGAAACCCTTTGTTACATTACGGACACGGAGCTCTTGGCCTCACAGATGTTGGTCCGGGTGGAGGCGTTTTTATGTTCCTACATTGTGCCTTGAGGTGACCAAATTTACTGCACCCATAACGTTTTTTATTTCTTGTGTCTTGGTGTAAATTCATTTTTCTTATTTCACTTGTCAATTCATTTATATAATAAGTCTGAGATCCTACTTTAGAACATTTTCTAATCATCTCATCTATTGAAGTGTCTTTTGTTATTCCTGCAAGTGCTCTCTTGAAGTCAGCATTAGCATTTTCAGGTGCCAAACGCTGGATTATTATTTTTGATGCGGCGCCTTCCCCAATAGCACGAATAACTGCTGTAGTAAAGTGAGCCAAATAATTGGGGAAAGTTTCTGTGGGTCCTTGCAAAATTTTAGTAAATGAGGCACCTTTATCTTCCTTTCCTGGCAATGAATTCCAGGCTTTATGGGCACACTGTAGAACTTGCTGATAAGCATGTAGAGGATATCCTAATTGATTGCCTAGCTGAGTATAGTTTCCTGATCCTGATAACTGTTCATATGAAACACTGACATCCCTGTTCTCATTGTCTCCAGCTTGCATTTTGCATTGATAATGGCATTCTGACTGCCATAATAAGTATTCACCTGGTTCCAAACACATTTTAGCTATACTGGCCCAATCATGTGGTGTTAAAGCTGTTCTAGAAATACTATCCAATAAAGTGTGTACATGTGGGGATAGTGGCCCATAAGTGGTGGCTGCACTTTTTAATTCTTTTATCACCTTAAGATCTAAAGAAGCATATTCTCTGATGGGATCATTTGGGTCATTAGGATTAGGGGTCTCAAGGACTGGAAAAAATCCTGCATGACCTATGAATTCAGTCATGTCTTCACCTCTCTGGCTAGCTTGTTGCAATGCCCTTTCTAGTACTGATTTAGGTTTATTTTTTAGTTTTGTTGACGAACAAGTTTGCAAGTAAGACGGACACTGAGAAAAAAACGGAGTTGACGGCTCAGGTGCAGCCAAAGCATTATTAAACCCTTCTACTGTGTAAATAATCTGTTTCCGTTTCTATATTTGCTTTATCATTTTCTTGTTCCAATTCCTCTATTTGTGTGCCCTGATCAAAGGTTCGAGCCTGTCTTGTTTCAGTAGGGGACAGCATGCAAAGTTTAATAACATTAAACAAGGAGAAAGCTGAAACAGGGAAATTTTCAGGGCCTGCAGTTTGATAACATTCATTCATTTGTTCTCCTACTATTTTCCATCTTCTTTACAACATGACTAATGGGAAATATGCTTAATATGAATGTGTAAGAATGTATAAGTAGAGCCTATATCAGATTACATGCCATCTTGGGGAGGGGGGAGGAGAGGAAGAGGGGGGGGAGAAAATTTAAAATTCACAATCCTCATGGAAGTGAATGTTGAAAAATGAAAATAAATTATTTTTTAAAAAGAATTAAAAGACCAAAAAAAAGTTAGCAGCTTCGTGATCCAGGGCAAGTCATTTAACCTTGTTTGATGTTCAGTCTCCTCACCTGTAAAATGAACTGGAGAAGGAAATGGCAAACAATTTCAGCATCTTTGCCCAGAATACCCCAAATGGGGTTAGGAAGATTTGAACAGGACTGAACAACAACACTGCACCTACATTTTCCTGATTCTGTTCTCTTCTGTTTTTTGAAAACTGGAACAATTCTGTGTCTCCTGTTTTATTTAGCCCATCCACCAGACGACGGGCATTTCCCAGGCACAGCTACACGCTCTCCACGTCTCCTGGTTTCCCTCGGGTCGGTCTCCTTGACGGAGGAACCAGACACAAAGAAGCACGGCTTCCCCCTGGCCGGTGCCCCCGTGACCTCTCCTGCTGCCCCGGGCCCACTCGTATCCTGCTCCTCCTGGAAGCCCCAGGGAGCTGAGCCAGCGGTCCCGGCATCCAGCCCCAGCCCCTGGTTTCCCTCCTCAAAGCCCTGGCTTCCCGGCGTGTTTGCGTCAGTTCCTGCGGGAAAATGTCAGTGCACAGGAAGCATTTCTTTAGACCCGCGGCCTGTGGTGACTGGCTGCCGGGGTGGGAGAGATTGCGGGCTAGACTAGCTTCGGAGGAGCCCCAGGACCCCTCGAGGTCTGGGACCCCATGCCTGGTGACTCGCCGTGGGCTCTGGGGTTGTGAAGACCTCGCACGAGGTAACGCTAGGAGCGGAGGGGGCGGGGCTCCTGGCAGGAAGGGCGGGGAGGGGCGGGGCAGACAGGGAGCCAGGACCCGCATTCCAGGCCGGGGGAGGAGCCGAGCTCCAGGCATGCGCACAAGTCGCCTCAGCCTCCAGACTACGATTCCCAGAAGGCCGTGCTCTCTTCGGGGGCATTTTCCAAGCTCAAGGGCGGGAGGGCCTTCTATCTTTCTACGACACTTCCGCCACCTTTCTCTCATGCTCTTCCTTGCTTTTGGATATTGGCTTCCCTTTCTGTGTCCTGAGCTGAAGTGTGACGGGGTGAGCGGGGACCGAGAGCGAGGCCCGGCCCAGGCGGAGCCGGCCACGGGGGTGCGGCGGGGTCGGAGCACCGGGGGCTGGTGGGGGAGCACACGGGGAATGGGAGTCTGGGGCTGGGGGGCGTTGGAGGCGGAGCCCTCCACTCTTGACCCTCCAGGCCTCAATCCTCCTCCTGTGCACAGAGTCTGAAAGGATCCCCTCCTGCTGTGTGTCTGCTCCTGGGTCCCCGTTCCACTTCGGCCTCATCTCCTCCTCCCGGCATCCTCCTGGGTACCCCCTCCTCCGGGAAGCCTTCCCTGCTGCTGCCGGGGGTCCATACCCTCGACCCCCCACCCCTCACTCCTCAGAAGTGACATCTCCCTGACCGTGCCCGGACTCCCTTGTTGCCTTATCTCCTCGTCTTCCGTAGAAAGCCTCCTGGGTACCACTTCTTCCAGGAAGCCTTCTCTGCTGCTGCTGCTGGATCAGTGGTGTCTGTTGTCCTGCTTTCTCCCACAGACCCTCCTCCCTGCTCTGCCCCTCAGGGGAGCCTCTGAGGAGGGGACACCTGCAGCTGCCCTGTGGTTCTCATAGTTGTCATTTCCCCCCAGAGCCTTTGGCCCCGGGGCCTCTGCTCTGCCCAGGAGGCGCTTTCACGGTGCAAAAGGGATGGTTCCTCTGCTCCTGACAGCCAGGCTTGCAAGGGTGAGTGGGAATTGCTTCTTTCCTGAAATACCTTGTCAGTTTGAAGACCGTGGGATACGTTTCTTTCTCAGAGAACCCTAGAAACTGTGGGGATCAGAGCATCATACGTTCAGAGCTAAAAGTTAACACAGAAGTCATCTCTTTGTCCTCCCCTTGCAAAGGAATTACCTTACATTTACTTTGATTTTTTTGGAAACATTTTCACATTTTGAGTTCCACATTCTTTCCCTTCCTCCTGCCTGCCCCTCCACCACCCATTGAGAATGCAAGCAGTGAGGTCCAGGTTTTGCATGTGAAGTCAGGCAAAACATTTCCACATTAGCCAGGTTACAAAGAAAAAAGAAGGTAAGAAAAATAAAAGCAAGTAAAAAAATATGGTTTAGTCTACAGCAGAGTTCTTCAGTTCATTTAATTGTTCATCATGAATCCTTTGTAGTTTTCATGGATCATTGTGTGGATCAGAGTAGACAGGTCTTTCACAGCTAATTATTGTTAGAGTATTGCTGTTTCTTTATAGGGTGTTCTTTTGATTCTGCTCAGTTTGCCTCAGTTCATGCAAGTTTTTCCAGGTTTTTCTGACCCCCACCTCAACTTTGGCTAATCTAAGAGATGTGAAGTGGTACTCTTGGTTGTAGTTTGCATTTCTGTATTATTGATTTAGAACATTTTTTCATTGGACTATTGATAGTTTTGATTTCTTCTTCTGAAAATTGCTTGTTAATATCCTTTGACCTTTTTTTTTCAATTGAGGATTGGCTTTTATAAGTTTGGCTCAGTTCCCTATATATTTGAGAAATGAGGCCTTTATTTAGAGAATTTTACTGTATAAATTTTTTTTTTTCCATTTTCCTGCTTGCCTTTTTATTTTGGCTGCGTTGGTTTTGTTTTTGCAAAGACTTAAATTTCATGTCATCAGAATTATGCCTATAACCTCCTGTGATCTTCTGTATCTTTTGTTGAGTCATAAATTCTTCCCTTATACATAAATATGACAGATAAATTTTTCCTACTTTGCTCACGCTATCATCCTTTGTATTTAAATCATGTACCCAGTTTGACCTTATCTTAGTATACCGTGTGAGATGTTGGTCTATGCCTGGTTTTTGCCAGACTGCTTTTGCAGTTTTCTCAGCAGTTTTCATCAGATAGTGAGTTCTTGTCTCCAAAGTTTGGATCCTTGTTTTTGTTTTTGTTTTTGTTTTTTAATTTGGATCCTTGGGTTTTTGAACCACTAGATTATTATGGTCATTTACCCAATCTGCTTCACTGATCAGCCACTGTATTTCCTTGCCCTCACCAGATTATTTTGACCATTACTGCCTTTTAATATTGTTTGAAATCTGGTACTGCTAGATTGCTTTTCTGTATTCAAAAAAAAATTGATTCCTTTGATGTTATTGACCTTTTTTTCTTCCTGATAAATTTTATTATTTTTCCTAGGTGTATAGAAAAAATTCTTTGGTGTGGCACTTAAAAAGTAAATTAATTTAGTTCAAATTGTCCACTTGCCCATGAGTTCTTTAGCTCTGTCTTTATTTGTGTGAAAAGTGTTTAGTAATTATGTTCATCTAATTCCTGGTTGTGTCTGGGCAGAGCAACTGCCAAGTATTTTATGCTGTCTGCAGTTATTTTAAATGGAATTTCTCATTCTGTCTCTTTTTTTTTTTTTTGGCTAGGCAGTGGGGTTAAGTGACTTGCCCAGGGTCACTCAGCTAGTAAGGGTCAAGTGTCTGAGGCCAGATTTGAACTCAGGTCCTTCAGGGTCAGTGTTCTATCCACTGCGCCAAATAGCTGTCCCCATATTATCTCTTGATGCTAGGTTTTGCTGGTAATACATAGACATGCTGATCATTCATTTTATATTCTGCAATTTTGCTAAAGTTCTTCATTGTTTCAACTTGTTTTTTTAGTTGATTCTTCAGAGTTTTCTTAAGTATGCCATCATTTTATCAGCAAAGTATGATTTTTTCCCCTTGTTGCCATATTGCTTCAATTTCTTTTTCTTGTTTCATTACTTTAGCTAGAATTTCCAGTATAATATTGAATAAAATTGTTGATAATGGCCGTCCTTGCTTCACCCCTGATTTTTTTGGGAAAGCTTCTAATTTGTCTCCATTACAGATAATGCTTGCTCTTGGTTTTTAATAGATACTGCTTATCATATTAAGAAAAGCTAGGGGCGGAGCCAAGATGGCAGAGGGAAAGCAGTGACTTGCTAGAGCTGTCCCCCAAATCCCTCCAAATACCTACAAAAAATGGCTCTAGACAAATTCTAAAGCAGCAGAACCCAGAAAAAAACAGAGTAAAACAAATTTCCAGCCCAAGCCAACCTGGATGGCTGATCGGAAAGGTATATCGCGCCGGACTGGGAGAGGACAGCGACCCTGGAGCAGGCCTCAGAGGACTGAATCGTGGGCGGCTGTAGTGGTTTCCAGACATCTCAACCCACGAACGCCAAAGACAACTTAGAAGGTCAGTGAGAAAAGTCTGTGACTGCGGTGAGAGAAGAAGCTAGGTCTCAGCCACAAGTCCAGAGCGTGTCCTCGGGGCACAGACTGAGGGGGAATCGAGTGGCTGATCAGAGGGGGATTGCAAGGATCTCTTTGCCAGGGCTGAGGCAGGAATCTCTTGCTTTACCGGTGCTTGGATCTGGGTCACAGTTCTGAGGGGCGGTCCTGGGGCGAGGAGGAACGCTGGCAAGGAGGAGCCCTGGTGTGGTGGAGCATGTTGTGGTGGTGGAGAGGAAACACCTCGCCCCTTATCATAGCACCTTGAAAGAACTGACACTTTTCAGGTCCCTTGAAGTATCTCTGAAAACAGCTGTACAAACCCCCGAAGCTTGGGACAGTACATTCTCCACATTGGAAACAGACTCTTACCTTAACAGAGAGTTTAAAACTCAAGTAATTGGTTGAGATCATGAGCACGCAGTGCAAAAAGAGTCAGACTATATTATCTTACTTTGGTGACAACGAAGATCAAAACATACAACCAGAAGAAGAAAACAAAGTCAAAGCTACATCCAAACTTCCAAGAAAAATATGAATCAGTCCCAGGCCTTGGAAGACCTCAAAAGGGATTTTGAGAAGCAAGTAAGAGAAGTAGAGGAAAAACTGGGAAGAGAAATGAGAGTGATGCAAGAAAATCATGAAAAGCAAGTTAACAGCTAGCTAAAGGAGACCCAAAAAAATACTGAGGAAGAAAAGCTCCATTTATTCCTATGTTTTCTTATGGCTTTTTTTTTTTTTTTAAGTAAGAATGGGTGTTGTATTTTCTCAAAAACTTTTTCGGCATCTTTTTATGTGATTTCTGTTCTTTTTGTTACTGACATGGTTAATTATGGTCGTAGTTTTTCTATTATTGAAACTGCCTTGCATTCCTGGTATAAATACGGCCTGGCATAATGTATGGTCTTTGTGATACATTTGTTGGTATCTTCTGGTAATATATTCTTTAAAATTTTACCTTGATATTCATTAGGGAAATTGGTTTTGTTGCTTTCTTTCTCTTTTTTTTTCTCTCACTGGTTTTGTTTCTAAAAAACATATTTTTGTCAAAGAATGCCATGTTCCCTCCCACCTTCTGAGGTGAGAGTACATGCTATAGCCCAGAAAATTAAGGAAGTTAAATTCTCTAAACTAAGGCTTACACTGCGAACTCTAATTCTAATCTCTAATTTCTGATTGTGTTGAATTACTGCAGTTCTTAATTATTACTCAGTAATCAATAATCTAAATTTTGCATTCCCCCTTAGATTCTATGAGAGCCGTGTCTCCATTGAATCACCATCTATAAACCAAACTGATAGGATCAGGCATGATCAGCATCCGTTGGAATTAAATTACTAATGGGGCAATGGAAAGCAGTAATTACAAGATTCAGCATTCTATGTAAGGCTAGCCATGAGATGTTCAATTATTTCTGTTGCGGGTTGATTGTTACAAATGTTCAGCAAAAAGTGATAAGTCTGTCATGCCTTTCTTCTCTCATCCCTACTTGCTTAAACTTCCTTTTCTTTTTATATACCTCCAGTGGCCTTTGATTAAAGCCCTTTAAAAGTTCCTCTTCCATATTTTATTCTGACCCTTCTCTTACTTTCTTCTACTTGCTTAATCCTTTCGTCTTTATTTCCCAGTCATATCCAAGACCCTACAGACAATCTTCATTTTAGTGAATTTTCCTTTATACTTTAGTACGTTTTTAGTAGACAAAACCCACTGATTGTAATACTGTCACGTGTAGGGGTTCTTAAAGGCTTTTAAAAGTTTAGTTCATCCCAATTTCTCTGAGGCCTTTTGGACAATTGGCATTGGTTACAGTCACATAGTTTTTATATATGATAGTCAAATAAACTCCCGCAGCACAACTGTAGAGTTTAAGGTCCCTCCTAGTTCCTCACTGTGGTGTCATTGGTTTCAGTTAGTAAGATGACTTTGGAGAAGAAGTTGTGTATGTCCCTCTCAAAGTTAACCTCTCCTATGCTAGAGAAGCATTTATCCACCCATTTCATAGAGGAGTTTACTTGGTAGTGACTTAGGTGAATCAACCAGAGACCAGTGATGGTTTCTCAGTTTATAGTCAATTGTATAAAATCAACTTTCATTTTAGTGCTGATACTTACATGTGTAGAGAAACTCGCAAGCATCTTTTCTTTGACTGTGAATGATCATAGTTCCTAATTACCTCTTCCTTTCACAAAGTTTGTGATATTTTCCAATACTCTACATTATGAAGTTATCGTATCTAATTAAGCAGTTAAGAATTTAATTTTTGTCTTTCATCAAAGAGGACTTAATTTTCTCATGACGTTAAATGGACATAAGCGTTATCACATTAATTTAATTTTTTGATTAAATTAAATCAGTTAATAGTTCCATAATCACTAATGTTAACAGTTTTAAATCTCAATTTTCACAAGGGCCATTAACTGTCAACATTTCAAATTTCAAGGCTCATTTTTATCAATTAGCTTATGCTTTAATTTTTTTCAAATATTAATT